ACAAGTGGAAGAAATTTGGAGATATTGGAAAGACAAATTCAGTGAGACAGCTGGGAAACAATGCCGGGACCGAATCATGGCCTGGGAAGCAATTGAGAGAAAATTGGGAAACCACGTCTGGTAGACAACTGGAAAACCACTGTTGCGAGGCAAGTGGACGACAACTAGACAACAGTGGAGAAACCTTGGAGGTAACTAACTGGGAAGCAACATCTGGGAAACCACACCGGGAAGACATCTGGGAGACAACTGGGTGACAAATTGAAGAGATTCGGAGACCACTGGGCGCAAGTGGCAAACAATTTAGAAAGTATTGGAAGACATCACATGCATGGGACCCCTGGCTTGGAAAGTTGAAATTCGCCAACGCCGGCTTTGGCAGTAGCCGGGGAGGCGCCCCTTGGACCACTCCCGTGCATGCTTTGACGCGCCGTTTTGACCAGGCTATAGCTGCATGCCACTCCGCAGGTCCTGCGGTGGGTTAACTCCTACCTCATCAACAAGCTCTAATGCCTAATGATGAAGGTGGTCATGCAGTAGATGAAGCGGCACAGCCGCAGTCGTTCGCGCCGTTTTCACTAGGATGACACAAGTTTGCGATTCGTTCAGCCGTGATGCCACAGCATCTGTGAGATGTTGCAGGTGGCCTTGGCGGCGCCGTTTTGGACGGGCTGGGACGGCTGGCTGGCCTGGCCCTGCTGCGCCTCCTGGAATGAGTGGCCAAAACTGTTATTCCTTCTTTGTCTTTCTTCAGGCGTGATGCGGCTTCTGCCACACGTTTTTCTAGGTGGCCTTGGGCGGCGCCGTTTTGACCACGCAGCGTGCCTGCTGCCCAAAATCGTTTTTGCTGTAACCGCATGCTGTTTTGATGGGCAGTTTTGACCGGGCAAGCAGGCAGGCAGGCTTGCTTGTTTGGTGGCTTGCTGTCCCCCTGAGTCCCTTGCTTGCTGGCTCTGGTTGCTCTCTTGACCTCGTGAAAGATCAAATGCAACCACACGAGCTTAACGTTTTGGCATGAAACAAAGCCCCTCCCCCTTAAGAGGGGGCGGCACCAGGGCGTCAGCCCTTTCTATAGGTGAAAGCGGGAAAAACGATGGGAGACAAGGTGTCCCCCACTAGGAAAATCCGTGGGAGACACGGTGGCAGGCCATGTAGGTTCCAAGGTTCCAGGTGGGTGAAAAATGGGAAAAACAATGGGAAACACAGTGGGAAGCACAGTGGGAGACAGAGTGGGAGATAAGGATCAAGGTTCAGGGGACGCTGCGCATACATGCGAGAGGGGGGAGAAGTCGCGATACCACCCCCCTCCTTCTAGCGATTGAAACCAAACAGCTTTCTGCTGTTGGGAACATCCGTTGCGGTTGCAGCCTGAAAACGAAAAAGGAAAGAACTGGGACGATCACAAAATTCTTTCGCTCATTTGTCTCTCCCGAAGACATGCCCACTGGCTCTCTACGCACTGCTCGCGGCAAAAAAAAACACAAATCAACACATGGATCTACAAAACATGCTTGCATCAAATTTGTCTCTGTCAAAGATCAAGTTGCGGCCTGCACACTGTCCAGGACAGACTCGATTATGCTTGCTGCCTCTTGCCTGGGCTCCTCACAAGGTTGTTGCAAGCCAAATAGGAAGCTCGTCCAGAATCCTCTTGCCCAGTGCCCTTTCTACCCTTTTTCGAAAGATTTCAACAAAGTTCTCAACGAATCATGGCTGCCACAAATTTTCATTGTTGATATTGTTGTTGGGTAGTGCAATATCTTTGCGCTGAGCAAACTCAGGGCCCAACTGCAGCCTGAACAGTCTCAGGACCGGCATCAGCGTCACTTGCTCGCCGTTGGTCGGACTCCTTCGCATCTGGAATCACAACAGCTCCTTTCTGCAATTGCCCATCTTATCCCATCTTCTCAAAGTAGCACAGCTCCCAATCCACGGAAACATTGACAGCGACACACCGTCCAATCCATTCTACTACAACTACAACTACAACAACAACAACAACAACAACCACAACCACAACCACAACCACAACCACAACCACAACCACAACCAAATAACATGACTAACCACAACACCACAACCGACACCACCAACGCCCCCAGGGACACGTACGCCACCAACCCCACACAGAGACCCAGACCAAACTAAAAAAACAGACAAAGCAAAGCAAACACGAAAACAACGACAAGACAAGCGACACACACGAGACGACAACACAACACAAACAACACAAACAACACAACAACACAAAACAACTACAAAGATCAACACAACGAAACAAAAGACAAACAACCAGACCCAAACCAACAATACCCCTCAACAATATACAAATCAAACCAACAACAAACAAACATAACAAACGAAACGAGAGACCTACCAAGCCCCACCCCACCCCACCCGCACGCCAGAATCGCCTACAACCCCAACCCCAACCCCAACCCCAACACCAAACCACCAACCCCAACCCCAACCCCAACCCCATTCCCAACCCAACCAACCAACCAACCAACACACCACAACAACAACAACAACAACAACAACAAGGCTGAAGGTCTGCAAACCCTTCCAGCCTTCGCGTCGGATTTCAATGCAGTTTGCACTGGGCCCTTGACCTTGCGGTCACAGTTTTTGAAAAGGATGGAATGCAAACGTTGTCAAAGCGCAAGTCCACTATATACGGTTTACATACCAGCTCATATCAATATCCCGTCCTGTCAAGCAACATCTTGCTTTGGGTTTGGTTTAGTTGTAAATTGATCTGACCCAAAAAACAAATCCAAACTTCATCTCATCTTTCGTATTGTAGGTGTGCTATCTGCTACTGATCTTTAACAGGTTCACAGTCTGGTCAACCATGGATCCTGGTGAATAGCATCCGTTCAAGTTGCAGCCTGAAAACAACAAAGGAAAGAATTGGGACGGTCACGAGGTTCTTTCGCTCGTTTGTCTCTCCCTAAGACATGCCCACTGGCTCTCTACACGCTGCTTGCGGCAAATAAACAATCCACAAATCAACAAATGGATCTGCAAAACATGCTTGCATTAAATTTGGCTTTCTCAAAGATCAAGTTGCGGCCTGCACATTGCCCAGGTCAGACTCGACTATGCTTGCCGCTCCTTGCCTGGGCTCCTCGGAAGCTTGTTTGCCAGCATGTTGCAAGCCGAATAGGAAACTGGCGCAGAATCCTCTTGTCCAGTCCCCTTTCTACCCTTTTTCAAAAGAGGTCAACAAAGTGCTCAACCAGAGACCTCTGTGACATGAGTCATGGCTGCCGCATATGGTTGTTGTTGCTGGGTGGACTGCGATATCTTTCCGCCCAGCAAATAAGGCGTGGCAAACTGAGGGCCCAACTACAGCCTGAACAATCTCAGGACCCGCTTCAGCTTCGCTTGCTCGCCGTTGATTGGGGGCCTTCGCATCTGGATCACAGCAGCTCCTTTCTGCAATTGCCCATCTTCTTAAAGTAGCCCAGCTCTCACTTCACGGAAACTTGAAGATTTTGAATCACGTCAGGGATTTTTAAGAGGATGAAATGCAAACGTTGTTTTTCAGTCGAAATGCACATCAACATGTCACAAGAACCACTTTTTTAACACGAATTCACAGGAACAATGCCGCAGGCCAGAACCGCGACCCACACTGTGTGCGAGCCTGCACAGTCGAAACGCATGTCAAGATTTCACAAAAGCCACCTCATACGGTAATTTACAGGAAAAATGCCACGCCCAAGAACGCGGACACCCACTTTTTGTGCGAGCTTGCGCAGCCGAAACGCATATTAAAATTTCACAAGAGCCACTGTATGCGGAAATTCGCAGGTAAAATGCCGCAGACCAGAGTGAGCACTCTGATCAAGCACCGGCCTTTACGCCTACCGTAAGAACCCCTCAGTGTGTGGACGCACTGTTTGGGGAACAAAAACAATGTTTCTTAAATGCCCGGCTACTTGATAGCTGCTGGCAATATCATCTGCCTCGTAGCTGTCAGCAAGGACCTCCATATCCTGTCCACATTCAAGAAAGCAGAGAAGCCAGAATGCAACGTCAAGCCTTTGTGGAAATACTATGCAATGCTGGGACATGCTCAGGTTTCTCCTATGCTTTTTCATCAGATCATTCAGTTTGTTTTGCGTGAGTATGCATTATGTTTCATGATTCTTGTGTCCATACGCGTTGCATTGCTTTGCATTGCTTTGCTTTGCATTGAATTGCTGTGCAAGCTATCATATCCATCATCATGTCCACCACATTATCCTTGTACTTGCTTTAGTGTCGTGAAAAACTCTCAGGCCTCCAGACTCGTGCACAAGGAGCGAGGGTTCGGCCTCATTCTGGTGGGACTCGTCTTTTACGTCTTTTATCATCGTTTAATTGAAGGCAGTTTAGAAATCAAACTTCCGACAGTATGGATAGATGGAAAAGCAGAGGTCGGAAGAATCAGAGAAGAGTAGAGAAGAGTAGAGAAGAGAAGAGAAGAGAAGAGAACAAGAAAGAAGATCAGAGAAGAGAAAGAGTCAGAAGAAAGAACATGCAGGTGCGCGAATAGGTAGAAAAGGCGCGAAACTTTTCCAATGATTTGTGGCCCCAGGGGGTCGAATTTCCTGAGAAGGGTTGCGTTTTGGAGCATCAGACTTCAAGTTTGGTGAGGTGATTTTGTGTGAAAGGCGCAGCACTTCGTATGATCTGGCGTCACTTTTTCGTGGCAAGCGCAATGCTTTAGACAGATGGAGTGGAGAAATCGCTCGACTTTCCATTTTCGAAGGCAGTCCCGCAGAACCGCTTCGTTCCCGACGCCGCCAACTTCGAACATGGAGGAGGTCTCGAAGGATTTGCTTCGTTTTCAAGCTTGCGGATGGATGGATAGATAGATAGATAAATAGATAGATAGATAGATAGAGATAGATAGAGAGAGAGAGAGATAGATAGATAGGTAGGTAGATAGGTAGATAGATAGGTAGATAGATAGGTAGATAGATAGGTAGATAGGTAGATAGGTAGATTGATAGATACATAGGTAGGTAGATAGATAGGTAGGTAGGTAGGTAGGTAAATAGATTAGGTAGGTAGGTCGCTAGATAGATTAGGTAGGTAGGTAGGTAGGTAGGTAGGTAGATAGAACAGAAAGATTAGAAAGATTAGTAAGAAAGAAAGAAAGAAAAAAAGAAAGAAAGACAAAAGAAAAAAAGAAAAAAAGAAAGAACGAAAGAAAGATAATTGGGTAAGTAGACAGACAGACAGACAGACAGACAGAAAGACAGACAGACAGACAGACAGACAGATAGATAGATAGATAATGATCGGTAGATAGATAGATAATGATAGATAGTTAGATAGATAATGATCGATAGATAGATAGATAATGATCGATAGATCGATAGATAATGATCGATAGATCGATAGATAGACAGATAGGTAGATAGATAGATAGATAGACAGATAGATAGATAGGTAGATAGGTAGATAGGTAGATGATGATAGATACTGAAAGATAATGATAGATATATAATGATAGATAATGATAGATAATGATAGATAATGATAGATAATGATAGATAATGATAGACAATGATAGATCATGATAGATCATGATAGATAATGATAGAGACTGATAGATAATGATAGATAATGATAGATAATGATAGATAATGACAGATAATGATAGATAATGATAGGTAATGACAGGTAATGATAGACAATGATAGAGAATGGTAGATAATGATAGATAATGATAGATAATGATGGATAATGATGGATAATGATAGACAATGATAGATAATGCCGGATTAATCCCGATAAGATGATAATGATGGATAATGATAGACAATGATAGATAATGATAGATAATGATAGATAATGATAGATACTGATAGATAATGATAGATAATGATGGATAATGATAGGCAATGATAGGTAATGATAGGTAATGATAGATAATGATAGACAATGAAAGATAATGATAGATAATGATAGATCATGATAGATAATGATAGATAATGATAGATCATGATAGATAATGATAGATAATGATAGATAATGATAGATAATGATAGATAATGATCGATAGTTAGATAGATAATGATGGATAATGATGGATAATGTTGGATAATGATGGATAATGATAGGCAATGATAGGTAATGATAGATAATGATAGATAATGGTAGATAATGGTAGATAATGATAGACAATGATAGATCATGATAGATCATGATAGATAATGATAGATACTGATAGATAATGATAGATAATGATAGATAATGATAGATAATGACAGATAATGATAGATAATGATAGGTAATGACAGGTAATGATAGACAATGATAGAGAATGGTAGAGAATGATAGATAATGATAGATAATGATAGAGAATGGTAGATAATGATAGATAATGATAGATAATGATGGATAATGATGGATAATGATGGATAATGATAGGTAATGATAGATAATGATAGATAATGATAGATAATGATAGACAATGAAAGATAATGATAGATAATGATAGATCATGATAGATAATGGTAGATAATGATAGATCATGATAGATAATGATGGATAATGATAGATAATGATAGATAATGATAGATAATGATAGATAATGATAGATAATGACAGATAATGATAGATAATGATAGATAATGATAGATAGTGATAGATAATGATAGATAGTGACAGATAGATAGATAGATAGAATGATAGGATGATAGGTAGATAGGTAGATAGATAGATAATGATCGATAGATAGATAGAAAGATAGATAGATAGATAGATAGAAAGATAGATAGATAGATCGATCGATAGATAGATCGATAGATCGATAGATCGATAGATCGATAGATAGATAATGAAAGAATGGTAGAATGATAGAATGATAGAATGATAGAATGATTGAATGGTAGAATGATAGAATGATAGATAGATAGATAGGTAGATAGATAGATAGATAGGTAGACAGATAGATAATGATCGATAGGTAGATAGATAGATAGATAAATGATAGAATGATAGAATGTTAGAATGATAGAATCATAGAATGATAGAATGATAGAATGATAGAATGATTGATAGATAGATAGATAGTTTAGATAGATAGATAGATAGATGGATAGATAGATAGATAGATAGGTAGATAGATAGATAGATAGGATAGATAGAGAGATAGATAGAATGAATGATCGAATGATAGAATGATAGCATGATAAAATGATAGCTTGGTAGCATGATAAAGTGATAGAATGATAGAATGATAGACAGATAGATGGATAGATAGATAGATAGATAGATAGATAGTTAGAACGATAGATAGATAGATAGATAGAAAATGATCGATAGATAGATAATGATCGATAGATAGATAGATAGATAATGATCGATAGATAGATAATGATCGATAGATAGATAATGATCGATAGATCGATAGATCGATAGATCGATGGATAGATAGATAGATAGAGAGATAGATAGAATGAATGATCGAATGATAGAATGATAGCATGATAGCATGATAAAATGATAGCTTGGTAGCATGATAGAATGATAGAATGATAGATAGATAGATAGATAGATAGATAGGTAGATAGATAGATAGATAGAGAGATAGATAGAATGAATGATCGAATGACAGAATGATAGCATGATAAAATGATAGCTTGGTAGCATGATAGAATGATAGAATGATAGAATGATAGACAGATAGATGGATAGATAGATAGATAGTTAGAACGATAGATAGATAGATAGATAGATAGATAGAAAATGATCGATAGATAGATAGATAATGATCGATAGATAGATAGATAATGATCGATAGATAGATAATGATCGATAGATAGATAATGATCGATAGATCGATAGATCGATAGATAGATAATGATCGATAGATCGATAGATCGATAGATCGATAGATAGATAGATCGATAGATCGATAGATCGTAGTTAGATCGATGGATAGATCGATGAATAGATCGAAGGATAGATCGATAGATCGATAGGTAGGTCGATAGATAGACCGATAGATAGATAGATAGATCGATAGATAGACCGATAGATAGATAGATAGATAGATAGAAAGATAGATAGATAGATAGATACATAGATAGATAGATAGATAGATAATGATAGATAATGATAGATAATGATAGATAATGATAGATCATGATAGATCATGATAGATCATGATAGATAATGATAGATAATGATAGATAATGATAGATAATGATAGATAATGATAGATAATGATAGATAATGATAGATAATGATAGATAATGATAGATCATGATAGATAGATAGATAGATAGATAGATAATGATAGATAATGATGGATAATGATGGATAATGATGGATAATGATAGATAATGATAGATAATGATAGATAATGATAGATAATGATAGATACTGATAGATAATGATAGATAATGATGGATAATGATAGATACTGATAGATAATGATAGATAATGATAGATAATGATAGATAATGACAGATAATGATAGATAATGATAGGTAATGACAGGTAATGATAGACAATGATAGATCATGATAGATAATGATAGATAATGATAGATAATGATAGATAATGATAGATAATGATAGATAATGATAGATAATGGTAGATAATGGTAGATAATGATAGATAATGATGGATAATGATAGATAATGATGGATAATGATAGATAATGATAGATAGATAGATAGATAGATAGATAGATAGGTAGATAGATAGAATGATAGAATGATAGAACGATAGAATGATAGATAGATAGATAGATAGATAGAATGATAGAATGATAGAATGATAGCATGATAAAATGATAGCATGGTAGCATGATAGAATGATACAATGATAGAATGATTGATAGATAGATAGATAGATAGAAAGAAAGAAAGAAAGAAAGAAAGAAAGATAGATAGATAGGTAGATAGGTAGATAGGTGGATAGGTGGATAGGTAGATAGGTAGATAGGTAGATAGATAGATAGGTAGATAGATAGATCATGATCGATAGATAGATAGATAATGATCGATCGATAGATAGATAGATAGATAGATACATAGATAGATAGATAGATAGAAAGATAGAGAGATAGAGAGATAGATAGAATGATTGAATGATAGAATGATAGAATGATAGAATGATAGAATGATAGAAAAATAGAATGATAGAATGATAGATTGATAGATAGATAGATAGATAGACAGATACTGAAAGATACACGGATAATGCTTGATAGATAGATTGGTTGATAGATAGATTGATGGATTGATTGGTTGATTGATTGATAGATAGACAGATAGATAGATAGACAGACAGACAGCTAGATGGACAGCTA